TACTTGATTGCTTAGTACATATAACACATTAGCACAAAAACACGGGCATTTATGTTTATCTACTGAGCTATCTTAAAATGCATTAGCACTATAACACAGGAATTTATGTTTATATACAGATAAAATGATAAAAACCCAATAACCCGAGCGTTTTCGAAAGGTGGACCTTTCTTCTTCAGGGGCGCTCGGGTTATTTGGTTTTTTTTTTTGTTTGTTTGTTTTATATTAAAACTTCTTGAACCTACGTGTTTTTCTGACATCATGCTTTTATTATAATGTGGCATTATACTAAGAAGTGCAAAGTATATATATAGAGTTGAATTAAAATGGTTATCTCCTTTATCCATTCTGTGAACTCCTTTACATGCATCTCACCATGTCTCCAATTATCTGTTTTTATAAATAGAACTCTAAATGTCGCTCTCAGGTTTAGCTTTGTAATTTATCAGTCATTTAAACCTAAAACTACCATCTCTCACACTATATGAATGTTAGTTATACAGTTAAATAGATACACACCTGATGAGTTTATTTGTGACTAATACATTTCAAGTCAACCCTAATCATCTGCACGCGGAGGAAACTAAATATGGCGGGAAAAGCATTGTGCACTCTATATATTCCCCTCTGAAGTAAAGGAAAACACGTAAAGGAGTTCAAACAATTTCACGTTCAGTGATTTTTACTGAAGAATCTAATTTACTTTTACCCTTTCAGTTATTGATAACAACAAATGTTGGCTGTTGTGTATAACGATATAACAAAATGACACAATTTGAGTATCTGCACTAGATATATACGTAACAGAGATCACGTGCTTAAAAAAACTAATTTTATTACAAGCTCCAAATGGACATACTTAAAATACATCTTGATATCTTGTGTTTGAGGTATGACCAAATCAAATCATATACTTCTTGGATTGATTTTAAGACTCTAATCTCTTTATTTACTAAAAACATTATAAGTATTGTCTTGAAAATAAACAACCGTAAAGAACACATGATTACGCTGACATGTTATTTTGGATATTTTTATATGTGAAAAAAATAATGGGAAAATCAGCTA